CATATTCTCAAAAGGAACCATGTGTCTATCTCGTTTTCTTTTGCCTGTTACAAACACCACAGTGTGGTGAAGGGTATAAAAAGGGCTCAGAAAAATATTCTTTATAAATCGTCTGGATTTTTTTTTTTAAATCGACGCCTTCTATAAGCGCTCAGATGTTTTCTGAAAAAAATTATATTTTTAAAAAATCCACGTCTCATATAGAATCCACGCCTTTTATTTATAAGCCCTCAGAAAAATATTCTTTAAGAATCCACGCCTTTTATTTATTAGCCCTCAGAAAACTATTCTTTAAGAATCCACGCCTTTTATTTATTAGCCCTCAGAAAACTATTCTTTAAGAATCCACGCCTTTTATTAGCCCTCAGAAAACTATTCTTTAAGAATCCATGCCTTTTATTAGCCCTCAGAAAAATATTCTTTAAGAATCCACGCCTTTTATTTATTAGCCCTCAGAAAACTATTCTTTAAGAATCCACGCCTTTTATTAGCCCTCAGAAAACTATTCTTTAAGAATCCATGCCTTTTATTAGCCCTCAGAAAAATATTCTTTAAGAATCCACGCCTTTTATTTATAAGCCCTCAGAAAAATATTCTTTAAGAATCCACGCCTTTTATTTATTAGCCCTCAGAAAACTATTCTTTAAGAATCCACGCCTTTTATTAGCCCTCAGAAAACTATTCTTTAAGAATCCATGCCTTTTATTAGCCCTCAGAAAAATATTCTTTAAGAATCCACGCCTTTTATTAGACCTCAGAAAAATATTTTTTTTAAAAATCCACGCCTTTTGTAATGCCTCAGAAAAACATTCTATAAAAGGCCACGTCTCATATAGACGCCCTCAGAAACATATTTTTAAAATATCCATGCCTCATAGAGGCCCTCAGAAAATGTTTTTTTTTTAATCCACGCCCTATAGAGTCGAGAATATTTCCGTATATCCAAATTTTTTTAAAATGAATAATACACTTTAATATTCATGAATTTCCATTAATTTGTTGCTGCCTAAAATTATTACCATAAAAATCATAATGAAATAAAAAACAGAGCAACAGCAATTTAGTGGCAGCCACACAAATTCTAAGCAAAAAAAAAAAACAGCAACAGCATCGCCCACAACCTGCCATAATAACGAAGCCATAACAATGGAAGAACCAACCACAGCAACAAAAACAGCCACAACGACGACAATAACGACAACGACGAGGAATTATAATCAAAACTTTTTTTGTTGACATTAACTTTTCGACGCCACTAACAAAAGAAAAAGCCTAACAACTTTGGTGTTTAACAGCGGGACCGAGCGAGCGAACAACTGGCCGACCGTTCCATTTAGATGCAATGGTGGTTCCATCCAGACCTGACAACCAACCGCTGTTATGTCAGGCTAGAAGGAAATAATTCGTATTGCGTTCAGCTCATTTTTCGCATGATATGACAAGTTTTGGAATGTTGTTCCAGCTGCTGCTTATTGTTGTTGTTACAATTGTAGTCCTTGTTTGTTTAACGGCCATGATTAAAACAAACAAAATACCAAAGGATATATTTTTTTGTTGCCGATTCGAGGTTTTTTGTTGGTTGGTGATATAAAAAGGAAGCAGCCAACACCATTTAGCAGTTAAAAAAAGTTGTTTTGAAGACCATCGCCTAAAAACACTAAAAGTTTTTTTTTAATGACAAAAGAATGAAGTTATTTTTTTAGGACGTGGTTAGTTGACGGGTATGCCGTTACTGAGTAGCGATAATGGAAGTAGGTAGGTAGGTACGGAGCTACCGGCAGCCTATTGTTAAACAAATTATGACCGGGAACAATAGACAGTTTTTTTCGCTCTCGCCACAAAAGGTTCCTTCGAAGTAAATGTTGGAAGGTCCTTTAGGTATGTGTGTGTTGTCAGCAAAAAAACTTTTTTAGGTTAGGCCAAGAAGGCAAATAAATGATAATGTTGACGATAATGGTTATAATATAATGAATACCTAACTTAGTTTTTTGGGGGGACGCCGAAATTTATGACATAATGGAAACAAATGGTAGGTCATGGTTTGGGGTTCACGAGGTTAGATGGCATCATTAGTGGGGTCAAAAATACAAATTTAGCACAAATTTTGTAAAGGCCTTAACAAGGCGTGGATGGTTTAAAGAATATTTTTTCAAGGCCTATCATAAGGCGTGAATTTTTTAAAGAATATTTTTTCAAGGCCTATCATAAGGCGTGGATTTTTTAAAGAATATTTTTTGAGAGCTCTCCTATCAAGGCGTGTATTTTTTAAATAATATATTTTGAGAGCTCTCCTATCAAGGCGTGGATTTTTTAAAGAATATTTTTTGAGAGCTCTCCTATCAAGGCGTGGATTTTTTAAAGAATATTTTTTGAGAGCTCTCCTATCAAGGCGTGGATTTTTTAAAGAATATTTTTTCAAGGCCTATCATAAGGCGTGGATTTTTTAAAGAATATTCTTTCAAGGCCTATCATAAGGCGTGGATTTTTTAAAGAATATTTTTTCAAGGCCTATCATAAGGCGTGGATTTTTTAAAGAATATTTTTTCAAGGCCTATCATAAGGCGTGGATTTTTTAAAGAATATTTTTTCAAGGCCTATCATAAGGCGTGGATTTTTTAAAGAATATTTTTTCAAGGCCTATCATAAGGCGTGGATTTTTAAAGAATATATTTAAGGCCTTCTTCAAGGCGTGGATTCTTAAAGAATATTTTTAAGGCCTACTTTAAGGCGTGGATTCTTAAGGAATATTTTTAAGGCCTAATTTAAGGCGTGGATTCTTAAAGAATATTTTTAAGGCCTACTTTAAGCCGTGGATTCTTAAAGAATATTTTTAAGGCCTACTTTAAGCCGTGGATTCTTAAAGAATATTTTTAAGGTCTACTTTAAGGCGTGGATTCTTAAAGAATATTTTAAAGGTCTATTTTAAGGCGTGGATTCTTAATGAATATTTTAAGGCCTACTTTAAGGCGTGGATTCTTAATGAATATTTTAAGGCCTACTTTAAGGCGTGGATTCCGAAAAAATATTTTTAAGGCCTACTTTAAGGCATTGATTTTTAAAGAATATTTTTTCAAGGCCTGCTTTAAGGCATGGATTTTTAAAGAATATTTTTTCAAGGCCTATCATAAGGCGTGTATTTTTTAAAGAATATTTTTTCAAGGCCTATCATAAGGCGTGTATTTTTTAAATAATATTTTTTCAAGGCCTATCATAAGGCGTGGATTTTTAAAGAATATTTTTTCAACGCCTATCATAAGGCGTGGATTTTTTAAAGAATATTTTTTCAAGGCCTACTTTAAGGCGTGTATTCTTAAAGAATATTTTTTCAAGGCCTATCATAAGGCGTGGATTTTTTAAAGAATATTTTTTCAAGGCCTACTTTAAGGCGTGTATTCTTAAAGAATATTTTTTCAAGGCCTACTTTAAGGCGTGTATTCTTAAAGAATATTTTTAAGGCATGTTTCAAGGCGTGGATTCTTAAAGAATATTTTTTCAAGGCCTACGATAAGGCGTGGATTCTTAAAGAATATTTTTTCAAGGCCTACGATAAGGCGTGGATTCTTAAAGAATATTTTTTCAAGGCCTACGATAAGGCGTGGATTCTTAAAGAATATTTTTTCAAGGCCTACTTTAAAGCGTGGATTCTTAAAGAATATTTTTTCAAGGCATACTTTAAGGCGTGGATTCTTAAAGAATATTTTTCAAGGTCTACTTTAAGGTGTGGATTCTTGAAGAATATTTTTTCAAGGCCTACTTGAAGGTGTGGATTCTTGAATAATATTTTTTCAAGGCCTACTTTAAGGTGTGGATTCTTGAAGAATATTTTTTCAAGGCCTACTTGAAGGTGTGGATTCTTGAAGAATATCTTTTCAAGGCCTACTTTAAGGTGTGGATTTTTAAAGAATATTTTTCGATCTAAAACTACCAAATAAACCCACGCGAACATTTTAATAAATTCAAGTCATTTCAAATCGCATTAAATGATTATATTGTCAAAACAATTGTCAAGGATGTAATTAGAAAAAAACTCGAAACAAAACAATAATCATATTACACAAAGCTGAAACTAACAACAAACTTGAGTCACAAAAACTTTTCACAGAGGCAAGTCGTAGCACTAGAGAAATATTTTTTGAAACATTTTTATGAACAAAAATAATGGCAAAAACAAAAAAGGTACGTTCGTTGTGAGACAATAAGGCAGACAGTTTTCTACTTGTTGTCAGTTATGAAAAAAATACAAAAAGGATGAACTTTGTACTCTTACTGTGGTAATTCGAAATGACAGCGCAAATATGGCAATGCCTGGAGAGATGTAGCAAGTTGTTGTTGTTGTACACATTTTGTCATAAAGTTTAAAAATTTGTCATATATTTTTTTTCTTTGGAGGTTTGAAAATTTAAAGAACCTGCAAATTTTAAATTTATTACAACAATGGTGTACTATTTACGACCATGCATCTGAAATCTGCCAGAGACGTTTCTTAGAATTTAAACAATTCTCGTTCTAAGGTCCATGAGGAGAATTTGCATCAGGATGCCAAAATTTATGAAACGGATTTTCAGATAATAAAACCGAGTTTTTTACCGGCTTTCTGAATCCCATACCTATGTTTATAATTTTTTAATTTGTTCCCTTCCTTTTGAACCATCATATTTCTCCAAGAATTCACCAAACCACATTACATAAAACATCTCAACATTTTATGTGTCTTAAAGTCTTCTTCTTCGAGCAATAGAACAAAAATAAACGAAGTGTAAATGCGTCACACAAAGTAGTACTGAAAAGTATCATTAAATTATGTTATGTTGCTGGCTGCTGCGTAGCTGACTGCCTGGCAGCGTTACAAATGCCATAAACGCTTTACACATTATGAATTTTTATGATATTCCTCCGCATACAACTCACACACAAAAAGTTATTCTATTTGATTTTATGCTAACATTTCTTCTCTTCACACTTCTTATTCGCACTTTCTCTTTCTTCTCTTATCGTTACAGGTCATTGAAGAACGTATCGTACACATTCCGACAGTACCCGCCCAGCCAGAACCCTTCTACCAGCCAACGGGTAAAGAATTGAAACCGAATCCGGTGGGTGAGGAGAATGGCATTGTTGTATTCAATTACAATCCCATAAGTGCGGTAAATTATGTAAGTTGATTCATGTTCATTCATGTACCATTTTATTATATGATATTTATTGTCAGTGCTTGTTGTTGTTATTATTATGGTCGTTATTGCCATTGTTGTTGCTGTTGCACATAATTAGTAGAAAGTAATGGGCACATTTGTAACAAAAGTCCCATGCACGCCCACCCAACTAACTAAGAACTAACATAAAGATGACTAAAAGAGAAAAAGGTCAAAGGGTCAATTAGGAATACAATTTGCATAAAGCATTATATTTTTTTCAAGGACTACCAAAATAGGCGTGGATTTTTTAAAGAATATTTTTTCAAGGTCTAACAAAATAGGCGTGGATTTTTTAAAGAATATTTTTTCAAGGTCTAACAAAATAGGCGTGGATTTTTTAAAGAATATTTTTTCAAGGTCTAACAAAATAGGCGTGGATTTTTTAAAGAATATTTTTTCAAGGTCTAACAAAATAGGCGTGGATTTTTTAAAGAATATTTTTTCAAGGTCTAACAAAATAGGCGTGGGTTTTTTAAAGAATATTTTTTCAAGGTCTAACAAAATAGGCGTGGATTTTTTAAAGAATATTTTTTCAAGGTCTAACAAAATAGGCGTGGATTTTTTAAAGAATATTTTTTCAAGGTCTAACAAAATAGGCGTGGATTTTTTAATGTATATTTTTTCAAGGACTACCAAAATAGGCGTGGATTTTTTAAAGAATATTTTTTCAAGGACTACCAATATAGGCGTGGATTTTTTAAAGAATATTTTTTCAAGGACTACCAAAATAGGCGTGGATTTTTTAAAGAATATTTTTTCAAGGACTACCAATATAGGCGTGGATTTTTTAAAGAATATTTTTTCAAGGACTACCAATATAGGCGTGGATTTTTTTTAAAGGAATTTTTTAAAGAATATTTTTTCAAGGACTACCAATATAGGCGTGGATTTTTTAAAGAATATTTTTTCAAGGACAATATACGTGGATTTTTTAAAGAATATTTTTTCAAATATAGGCGTGGATTTTTTAAAGAATATTTTTTCAAGGACTACCAATATAGGCGTGGATTTTTTAAAGAATATTTTTTCAAGGACTACCAATATAGGCGTGGATTTTTTAAAGAATATTTTTTCAAGGACTACCAAGATAGGCGTGGATTTTTTAAAGAATATTTTTTCAAGGACTACCAATATAGGCGTGGATTTTTTAAAGAATATTTTTTCAAGGACTACCAATATAGGCGTGGATTTTTTAAAGAATATTTTTTCAAGGACTACCAATATAGGCGTGGATTTTTTAAAGAATATTTTTTCAAGGACTACCAATATAGGCGTGGATTTTTTAAAGAATATTTTTTCAAGGACTACCAATATAGGCGTGGATTTTTTAAAGAATATTTTTTCAAGGACTACCAATATAGGCGTGGATTTTTTAAAGAATATTTTTTCAAGGACTACCAATATAGGCGTGGATTTTTTAAAGAATATTTTTTCAAGGACTACCAATATAGGCGTGGATTTTTTAAAGAATATTTTTTCAAGGACTACCAATATAGGCGTGGATTTTTTAAAGAATATTTTTTCAAGGACTACCAATATAGGCGTGGATTTTTTAAAGAATATTTTTTCAAGGACTACCAATATAGGCGTGGATTTTTTAAAGAATATTTTTTCAAGGACTACCAATATAGGCGTGGATTTTTTAAAGAATATTTTTTCAAGGACTACCAATATAGGCGTGGATTTTTTAAAGAATATTTTTTCAAGGACTACCAATATAGGCGTGGATTTTTTAAAGAATATTTTTTCAAGGACTACCAATATAGGCGTGGATTTTTTAAAGAATATTTTTTCAAGGACTACCAATATAGGCGTGGATTTTTTAAAGAATATTTTTTCAAGGACTACCAATATAGGCGTGGATTTTTTAAAGAATATTTTTTCAAGGACTACCAATATAGGCGTGGATTTTTTAAAGAATATTTTTTCAAGGACTACCAATATAGGCGTGGATTTTTTAAAGAATATTTTTTCAAGGACTACCAATATAGGCGTGGATTTTTTAAAGAATATTTTTTCAAGGACTACCAATATAGGCGTGGATTTTTTAAAGAATATTTTTTCAAGGACTACCAATATAGGCGTGGATTTTTTAAAGAATATTTTTTCAAGGACTACCAATATAGGCGTGGATTTTTTAAAGAATATTTTTTCAAGGACTACCAATATAGGCGTGGATTTTTTAAAGAATATTTTTTCAAGGACTACCAATATAGGCGTGGATTTTTTAAAGAATATTTTTTCAAGGACTACCAATATAGGCGTGGATTTTTTAAAGAATATTTTTTCAAGGACTACCAATATAGGCGTGGATTTTTTAAAGAATATTTTTTCAAGGACTACCAATATAGGCGTGGATTTTTTAAAGAATATTTTTTCAAGGACTACCAATATAGGCGTGGATTTTTTAAAGAATATTTTTTCAAGGACTACCAATATAGGCGTGGATTTTTTAAAGAATATTTTTTCAAGGACTACCAATATAGGCGTGGATTTTTTAAAGAATATTTTTTCAAGGACTACCAATATAGGCGTGGATTTTTTAAAGAATATTTTTTCAAGGACTACCAATATAGGCGTGGATTTTTTAAAGAATATTTTTTCAAGGACTACCAATATAGGCGTGGATTTTTTAAAGAATATTTTTTCAAGGACTACCAATATAGGCGTGGATTTTTTAAAGAATATTTTTTCAAGGACTACCAATATAGGCGTGGATTTTTTAAAAGGATTTTTCAAAAGCCTTAGCCGTGGATTTAAAAAAATTTCAAGTACCAATATAGGCGTGGATTTTTTAAAGAATATTTTTTCAAGGACTACCAATATAGGCGTGGATTTTTTAAAGAATATTTTTTCAAGGACTACCAATATAGGCGTGGATTTTTTAAAGAATATTTTTTCAAGGACTACCAATATAGGCGTGGATTTTTTAAAGAATATTTTTTCAAGGACTACCAATATAGGCGTGGATTTTTTAAAGAATATTTTTTCAAGGACTACCAATATAGGCGTGGATTTTTTAAAGAATATTTTTTCAAGGACTACCAATATAGGCGTGGATTTTTTAAAGAATATTTTTTCAAGGACTACCAATATAGGCGTGGATTTTTTAAAGAATATTTTTTCAAGGACTACCAATATAGGCGTGGATTTTTTAAAGAATATTTTTTCAAGGACTACCAATATAGGCGTGGATTTTTTAAAGAATATTTTTTCAAGGACTACCAATATAGGCGTGGATTTTTTAAAGAATATTTTTTCAAGGACTACCAATATAGGCGTGGATTTTTTAAAGAATATTTTTTCAAGGACTACCAATATAGGCGTGGATTTTTTAAAGAATATTTTTTCAAGGACTACCAATATAGGCGTGGATTTTTTAAAGAATATTTTTTCAAGGACTACCAATATAGGCGTGGATTTTTTAAAGAATATTTTTTCAAGGACTACCAATATAGGCGTGGATTTTTTAAAGAATATTTTTTCAAGGACTACCAATATAGGCGTGGATTTTTTAAAGAATATTTTTTCAAGGTATTGGTACTACCGAAGTAGGCGTGGATTTTTTAAAGAATATTTTTTCAAGGACTACCACAACAGGCGTGGATTTTTTAAAGAATATTTTTTCAAGGACTACCACAACAGGCGTGGATTTTTTAAAGAATATTTTTTCAAGGACTACCAAAATAGGCATGGATTTTTGTAAGAATATTTTTTCAAGGACTACCAAAATAGGCATGGATTTTTTTAAGAATATTTTTTCAAGGTATTGGTACTACCGAAGTAGGCGTGGATTTTTTAAAGAATATTTTTTCAAGGACTACCAAAATAGGCATGGATTTTTTTAAGAATATTTTTTCAAGGTATTGGTACTACCGAAGTAGGCGTGGATTTTTTAAAGAATATTTTTTCAAGGACTACCAAAATAGGCATGGATTTTTTTAAGAATATTTTTTCAAGGACTACCAAAAATAGGCATGGATTTTTTTAAGAATATTTTTTCAAGGACTACCAAAATAGGCGTGGATTTTTTAAAGAATATTTTTTCAAGGACTACCAAAATAGGCATGGATTTTTTTAAGAATATTTTTTCAAGGACTACCAAAAATAGGCATGGATTTTTTTAAGAATATTTTTTCAAGGACTACCAAAATAGGCGTGGATTTTTTAAAGAATATTTTTTCTACTTATATGTAGAACATCTATAGAGGGTATTTTGTGAATAGACGGCTAATGACGGGTCTTCTATCATTATAGCTAACAGGATTCCTCATTCGCACAACATTAAAAATAAGTATGAGAATAGCGTTTCAAACATTCCCAGAAATTCCCAGTTGAATAATTTTCCACGCATCCCATATCCATGAATATTAAAAAAAGTAAACACATTAGAGGCGCACTCACTATGTACATTAGCTTATTTGTTGTTGTTGCTAACGTTGTTGCAATTGAATGTGTTTTTTTTTTTTTTTGTAACTAACGCAGGAAAAAATAGAAATGCATTAAAGCAAACAATAGCGTATAGCAAATAGACCCAAAAAACACGCCTGTAAAACGTTTCTAAAAAGCAAATAAACGAAAAAAAACGTAGAGGAAAACAAACATGAATAGAAAAAACTAAAAGAATAAACATCAAATAGCAACTGTGCCGGCGATTTTGAAACGGAAATTCACACGTTTTTCTAAAAATATAACAGAGAGAAAAAAAAAATGATTTGAAAAAAAGAAAAAAAAAATACACAAACCTTAAACTTGCAAAAAAAAAAAAACACACACACACATATGCACACCAAAAACCCCGAACATCTGTCGACATCAATGACAACACAGCTCGCACTCTGAGTGACAGACACGGTGCTGACTGGCTGGGATATAGAAAAAAAGACTACACATACATAGGTGTTTTTCTATACAACGAACCGATTGAGGTTATTAGGAAGTTATTGAAAAGTTAAAAT